ACATATACATATATACATACATATATACTGTATACATATACACACACATACATGTATATACATATACACACACATTTTTATTTTATTTTATTATTATTATGTTTTTGCTCCTTTAAGAATGTTCTGCTTCTTTTAGCTTTAGCTTCCTTAGCTTTTCTTGATTTATTGGTGTTTTCGGTTAAGCTTTATGCAATAATCAGGTCTTTTTTCCTTACAGAGGTTTTGTTGCTGCAGAACTTGCACTGGAACAAAGTCCTCTTGGACTTCACAGACGACAGACACGTCTCGCTGCACAGCTCCTTCATACTTCCTGAATCGTCCGCCGGAGCCAGGATGACTTTCTGAGGCTGAGTTATCAACCTGAGGAGACAAAGAGCAAGAAAAACATTCATCATCACATAACGTGTTAACTAGAGAAACAGCATTTCCTGTGAAATGCTAGTGTGAATGCYTCTTAAAAACGGCTGYGTGACTTTGTGCCCCTCRTCATTCTTCTCTGGCTGCCAAAGACTTGGGCTTTAATGTCCATTTCACCTTGATTTTCTGCAAATAATTTCTCAGACCTGATGTTCGACCCGTTTGAACATTTTCTAGCCGGTCTTCTTTGCCCTAACGATGGTTCATACGGCAAAAATGACTCAGCAAATGTCTCAGGTAACGCTGTAAGCTTCACTACCTCTGCCAGTGTTTGTCGCTTCCGCGTGGGCGGAGTGATCTTCCCTGAGCGTCATGTCGAATTTAGTTTAAATACCAGAAAAAGGCTAAAATTAGCATTAAAAAGCTAAGCCAAATTTGAAATTAGCACCAAGATGGTGAAAATGTTTTTAAATTTTAAAATTAGAAAAAAGCATAAAAGTAAAAAAATGATAATTTGTTGAAAACAAGCTAAAACAGCCAAAATCTGCAGTAAAACAGCTAAAATGTAGCTGGAAATTCTTTAATTAGCATAAGAAAGCACAGGGAGCACAAGTTTGCAGAACTAAGCAGAAAGAAGTTGTAACAGCTGCAAAAAATGTGCATTTAGCTTAAAAAGGCTAACTTTAGCTAATAACAGCTTAACATTAGCTAAATATGCAGCAAAGAGCTGAAAACGGCAGAAAGCAACAGTAAGAAGCAGAAATATCTTAAATTAGTAGAAAGAAGTACAAAATAGTAGAAATTAGCAGAAAGAAGCAGAGTTATAGCTGAAATTGTAGAAAAAAGCTACAATTTGTTTAAAAAAAGGCTAAAATTAGAAAAAAGGTTAAAATTAGCACAAGGATGTTAATAAGAGCAGAAGCAGAACAAAAGGTAGAMGGTTCTATAAAGATTTAGAAATATTTTCAAGGATTTTAAAGATGTTAAAAAACAGCTCCATTCATTTTCAATGGGAAAAATGTGGCCGAAAAGGTAAAATAGCTAAAATAGTATAAATAGCTGAAATACCAAAAGTCATAGCCGTAATGTGCTGAAGCATCTGAACGTTTTGATATATGAATTGTTAAAATAACACAAAACGATATAAAATAATGAAAGGGGACGCTCACTGGCAGCAGTTGTAGCACTTCCTGGTGTCAAACCTGACGTGAGGAAACGCCTCAACCACGCAGGTCTCGGAGCAGAAAACCTTCTTGGCTCTCTTCATGTGAAAAACATTTTGTCCCGACACGATACTCCTGCAGCAGCAGCCGCACTTCACGTGACCCGTGTGAGTGACGAGCCTCGCCACGTCGTCCGTCTCAACGAGCGAGGAGTGAGGGCGGTCTTTAACGGCCGAGTCTGAGTCGTGCTTCGCGCCGTCCTGTCGGAGGAAAACAAAAACAAAAACACAAAAACAAAATGGGTGCTCATTTACTGAACCCTGACGCAACATGAGAAACTATCCTTTCTGAAAAACGCTGAAAAAGATCGATTAAAGACGCTCTGAAACAAGAGTAAACACAGAAACAAAACATCACTGCTGCCGCCTGAAATCTTTTATTTTGTCAACAAATCGACTCACGTTTGTTGACGTCCGCTCTGACTGAGATCCTGAGCTCCTCTGGCCTGAAAAAACAAATCAGATAACATCAGATTTTAGCTACTGTTCTTCTATATTTTAGCTGTAATTTCTCCTTTTACCTGCAGTATTGCCTGTGTTAGCATTTAGCTACTGTTTAGCAAAAACTATAAGTTTTTTTTAGCTACTGTTTGGTTGTTTAAGGTTTTAATTGATATTCGAATAATTTTAGATTTTAGCTACTGTTCTTTCAATTTGTATTTTAGCTAATAGTTCTCCTAATGTTAGCTTTTGTCTTCAAAATAGCATGTCTTAACATTTAGCTACTGTTTAGTAAAACTATATTAAAGTTTTCCTTTAGCTACTGCTTGGTTGTTCAAGTTTTTAGCTGATATTTTGAGAACTATGTTTTAGCTGCTGTTCTTTCAAACTGTATTTTAGCTATTCGTTCTCCTAATGTTGGCTTTTAGCCACTGTTTCACCATCTTAGCCTTTAGCTACTTCCAGCCAATACTGATTTTTAGCTACTGTTTAGAAGTTTAAGATTTGTAAATGCTAATTTGCTAATTTTAGCTCTTAGCTGCTATTTTAAAAACCTATGATTTTAGCTTTTGCTGCTCCAAATGTTGGTTTTAGTTGCTGTATGTCTGGTTTCAGCTTTTAAATTATGTTTTTGTATTTTTATCTTCTCTTCTGATCAGTTTGAATTTAACAAATTGATTATTTTAGTCAGAATTTAGAATTTAAATTAGAGATTCAAAACTAAAGTCGGATTTTTAAGAAAACTGAATATTTTGTTCCACCTTAGCTCATGTTTTTATAAAGTATTTACACAGTTTTATAT